ACCTAACGCTCTACCTCATGGATCGTTAGAAAGCTTAATAGATCAACACATTGCACCATGCTTCCATCTTTGATCCTAAATTTTTAAAAAAAAAAAAAAAAAAAAAAATCGAGTGGAAAGAATAAGCGCACCTAGAACAATAAAACTTTAATAAAAGGGTCCACTTTTTGTCTTGATGATCGGTACTAGATTTGTGTGCTAGTTTGAGGGTAAGGATGTGATTAATTCTTTAGTTGGCTAAAATAGCAACATATTTGATGCCGATCCACTCAAAAAGGATTCTAGAGTTGTTTTGATTTGCATGATCATTGTCTTGATGTGTGGAAGATCATACTTGCTTGCTTGATGTTGAAATTTTGGGAGATTGTTTAGAAATGTTTGAAACATTGCATACTTGAGGTAGTTTTCTCCCAATACTTGCTCGTAATATTGGTACCTCTTTTGAAAGAATGAGCTTAATGTTTGTGGGTATCATTTTTGGAAACCCTCACGAGACTTCACTCGTCCACTAGGGGTAACCTAGGGGTTTAAAAGGCTTGTTGCATGTGCTAAATGTAATCGTGTTCCCTACGAAAGTGGCGTTATCCATTTATTGCTTTTTAGTTCATAGTTGTATAGTTGTTCATTTCATTCCTTTACTTTCTAGTTCATTGCTAGTAATATTTAAGTTTGGAGGTGTGATAAGCGCTGAAAAGTGCGTATTTAAACCCCTTAAGCTTAGGTATTCTAGAACCTTTACCAAACTTATTTTACCATTTTGTATTGATTTCGTGTTAATTCCATTTTCAGGTACTTATCCCCAAAATAAGCTAACTCAGCCAAATAAGAGCACAATTGAAGCAATTTTAGGATGAATCAAAGAAAGGAGCAAAGTATAGCAAAAGGAAACAAAGGGTGGAATTTCAGCAACTTCGATCGATCTTAAGAAAAGTTTGATCGATCCAACTTTTATCGATCTCAGCACTTCAAGATGGATCTGAGCCATGTTTGTCCCTGTTCAAAGATCTCAATCGATCCAGCCTAAGTTTGATAGATCTCAGCCATTTTCGATCGATCTAAGTTCAAGGTTCGAACGATCGAACTTCCTCCAGTGCGAAAAAGTTAAATTTTCAGCTCACAAAAATTTTGTCCTTTATCCAATCATTGGGGAATATTTACTGTACAACCCCAGCTCATTTTGGGTGTCATTTGACCTACCTATATAAGGATAAGGATTACTTTTTACATCAGATCATATTGTAATACATTATATCATATCATACCTTGTCGAACTTTAGGGAGGAAGAAAAGAAGAGGAGGAGGCTAGACATACCATTAAAGACTCTTCATCAACCAAGGAACAGATTTCTTCCATGGAGCTTGCCCTTGAGGGTTGGAGGACATCATCCATGAGTGGCTAGACATCCTCTTGGGGCTAGAGTTAGCCCTAAGCATGCTTTCTACTTCTTGATTTATGTATTTTTTAGGGGATTTGTATTGTAATTCATGTCTTGATACTTATATATATATATATCTTGTTTATTCAATGATTTATGTGGTTTAATACTTCCAATTGATCATTTCATTCTATCCATATGTCTATGTATGCTAGAATAGATGTTCATGTGTTTGTCTCTATTTCTTGTGTTATTGATGCATGTCTATGTGTATTGATGCTATAGATCTAGAGATTGTCTAGACATAGTGCTTAATGTCATGTTCTTGTGGTTTATTTGATAGTTCATACTCATTGCTTGATGGATTGTGCCTCTCCCTTAGTTTAATTAGTTTAATTTCATGTCATTAGCTTAGTTGTAGTGTAGTTATTAAATAGGAGGACAATCCATGCTTGTTGTTGATGTTCCATACTTATGAAAAGCAAGTAACATGTATCTCTAACCTTGTGATGTGTTTGGATTGTGAGCTTAAATAAAGGATTAATGGCTTAATTTGATATGTTGTGCTATTCACCATGTTGTTTAGATAATATATGCTTAATTTTTCATCCATGCTTGTTGAAACAACCACACACACACACACTTTGTTGCAATACATGCTTTTCCCCTCATTAATCATTCATTAAAGGTGTAGAAAAGCTATGCTTGGTGGTGATCTCTAAATCTCAAGATCTCTCTCTCTTTTATTCTCTCTATTGCATTATTGCTTACTTTAGTTTAATTTGCATTTAGTTTAATTCAACCAACCAACCACTATTTTGATCACTCGACCTACTAACCCTAATTTTGATTCCTCAACCTAGTACGACAACTCAATCCCTTGGGACGATCCCTACTCACCCTAGCTATATTTTTAGTGAAAGGTAGTAGTGGCAATTTCTAAATGTAAAACTTGGCCACATAAGCATAAACTTTTAGAGTGCGACGTCCGACACCACCACTGATGCTGATGCTGATGTGGCAGCAACTTTGTCAAATATTGGGAATTTCTGAGGAAGGGTTGCAAGCACCCTATTTGGGTTTGCCAGCTATTATAGGACAATCCAAGATGGATGTTTTCTAGTTTTTCTTACAAAAAGTTCAAGACAAGCTAGCTTTATGGAAAGTTAAAATTTTATCAAAATGAGAGAAAGAAGTTTTCCTCAAGGCGGTGTTTAGCGCGCTTCCGATATATGTGATGGCATGTTTTCGCATACCAAAAAATTTGTGTGAGGAGCTTATGAAAAGTTTTCGCATGTTTTAGTGGCGAAAGAAGCAGGAACATAGGGCAGTGCATTGGTCCAGATGGGATTGTCTTTGCAGGAGTAAACAAGAGGGAGGTTGGGTTTTTGAGATATGGAGGCGTATAACATGGCTTTGCTCTCCAAGCAAGCATGGAATTTTTAGGTGACAAAACGAGGGCTGGCGTTTCAATTATATAAAGCAAAATATTTTCTTGATGCCTCATTGGGAAATAATCCCTCATGCGGTTAGCGTAGCATTTGTTCTGCACAACCCATTATTAAAAAGGGTGTGATATGGCTGGTGGGCAATGGAAAAATGATTAATATATGGAAAGATGTTTGGATGCCAGAAACTTGCTCTCATTTGGCCCTTCAGGTTGAAAATCCATCTTTAAATTTGGTTGCGGATTTAATTAATGAGGCGAGTCATTCATGGAAAGTCTCCGTCCTTGCTCAATATTTGTCGTCAAATATTGTGGAGACTATTTTGTGAATTCCAATTAGTTTATGTGGGCGTGAAGAAGTCCAATATTGGCCATCAACAACATCCGGAGATTATTCTGTTAAAACAACATATCATATTGCTTTTAAGATGCTCTCACAGCTCTCTAGTCATGATAATGGTGTTTTGCAGTCGAATATTGATGCCCATTACTAGCAGTCACTTTGGGGATGTAATATTCCTTCAAACCTGAAGCATTTTTTGTGGTAATGTTAACGGGGAGTGTTGCCAACCAACGAGACACTTAGCAGGAGAGGTCTTTCCTTGGATCCAGTTTATCTATGTTGTTGTGGAGAAAATGTATCAGTTGAGCATCTCATGTTCCGTTGTCCTTTCGCTCTTCAAGTATGGAAGTTGTTACCTTTTCGATTTTATTTTGAATCCTTATCCGTTTCATCGTTTGCGACATGGTAGAGTTCTTTGGGGCATGGCACTGTAGGTGAGCCTGCTATATTGGACCTAAGAAGCTTGTTTGTTGTTTGTGCATGGGCCATCTGGAAGGCGAGAAATCGAGTGATTTTTTAATGGAAAATGCTCAAGCCCGCAATATGTGGTTCAGAAGGCAATGGCTGAATATTGGGAGTATATGGATGCTAATGTTAATAATCCAGAGATTATTGATGTAGCATTGATGAATGGGGTGGTTTTGGAAAATGATGTATGGATTCATCCTCCAACAAACATGGTAAAATGTAATGTTGACGCCTCTTTTTTGGCTTCCAAAGGTTTGGCAGGAGGTGGAGTCATTTTTAGAGACAACGATGGATCAATTTAAAAGTTGGTGATTCTTAAGCAGTTCCCCGCGGCAACACCGCTTATGGCGAAGGCTTGGGTGTTGTGGGCTGCAGTGGAGTGGGCTCAACGATTGAACTTTCACCGATTATGGTTTGAAAGTGATTCCCGTGTTGTGTGTGATGTGGTTAATGGTAGGCAGACTTGTCCTTTTGATATTTCATCCATTGTTTTTTATATTAAGTCTGTCTTCCAATGCTTTCCGAAAATGAAATTATCATTCGTTAGAAGGGAAGGGAATCGTTTGGCTCATGAAGCAGCTAAGCTTTCAATGTCTTTTCTCCCAGTGGATCAAGTTATTCAAGAGCTTCTGGTGCATTTGTTGCAGTTGGTAGGTATGGATTGCCCTCAGTTTTCTCTGTAGTTTGTTGTGTTGCATTGTTTTCTTGCCTTGTAAAAAAAAAAATAATACTAAAATAAAATAAAAAATATATATAAAAAATATTCTTTTATTATCTATAATTCTTCATTTTTCTCAATTTCTTATGCTAATTTTTAATTTTAAGAACTTTTTTGTTATTATGATAGTTAAAAAATTGATTCCTTTAAATATCTTTTATAAAATTTATCTTAAATTTGTTCAAGTTTGAATTTTTTTTTTATTATTTTTTTTTATTATTTTTTTTATAAAAAAAATATTTATTTTGGGCATCTTGAACTCGTCCCGGTTGACATCCCTAGGAATTGAGTGCAATTGGGAATTGGGTCTGTTTGGATACAAACGATGAAAATACTTAAAATTATTTAATGGTGTTAACAGTCACCCATATGCAAGATTATCTCCGCTCTACATAAAACAACCAAGACACAAAGTTGATTTGGGCTACAACAATCGCAGACCCAGAAGCTTACATTCACATTACATTCCCAATTAATTTGAATCTAGGATAAGAATCCATGAAATTAAGCTGATTCGGCAACCACAGATAAGATATACTCCTATATATATATATATATATTATTTATTTTTTCTAGTGAAGCTGACGTTTTTTTAAGAAAATAAAATGAATGCTGACGTGGCAAAATTATATATGCTAGGCTGTTGAAGGACATTTGTTATCGCAGGTCCCCGTTTCTTCCTCAAAGTTCTCTGTGTCTTCATTTCTCATCGTCTGTATGCTTTTTTTTTTTTTTGTTTTTCTCTGTCCTCTTTATATCCATTAGAAATTTTAAAGTAAGAAGCAGGTAAAAGATGGGTGGTAATACTCTTGTTTCTCTTGAAGATGATGATCATATTCACCATGAAAATAACATTTCAGGGTTTTTTGGGGAAGAAGATTTTCTTGATCATCACCATCATCATCATCACTCCTCCGATGCATCATCCATCTATTTTGATGATATTGAATCTGATGATAGCCCCGAATCATCCCATGATCCAGAGGAAAGGACCCAATACTGGGACTCACAAGAATCACTGCTCCAGGTACACACACACACACACATATATATATATATAAATTTCTGTATGTGTTTGTTTTTATTTATATATCCATATATCAGCTAGCTTCATCATTTGTATTAATTACAGAAACCTTTTCAAGTTTGTGAAAAAGGAAAAATACAACAAAGAGACTGCCATTTTTAAAAAAAAAAAAAAAATAAAAAATAGTAAAAAAAATTGGAACCCTTTTTGCAGTTTTAATTGATTACTTGAATTTCTGGGTAATATAACCAGAATTTTTTTTTTTTTTTTTCCCTCAAAAGAAAAGGCTATCCATCTCTACACACACGTGTGTGTTTTGGATTGTTTGGGTTGCAAAACATGGATTTGGTTTTTGATTGTGGGTTGTTTTTGACAATAAATATGAAATTGTTTTTGTTTGATGTTGAATTTGCTAAGAAGACAGAGTAGTACATACTCTTCAGATATAGTAAATGTAAGCGTAAGTTATGGTCTCTAGTCATTGTCTCTGTGCTAAATATCTCACAAACACACACACATATATGTTGTTCTTATTACCATAATTTACAGCATCAACATATATTTTGGTTCACAAGTACTAGTCCACATATCTGCTAAATTTTAGTTGTCCAACTAATTGTCTAACTCATTTTTAGTGTCATATATATATATATAGTGAGAGAGAGAAAGAGGGGTGATCTCAAAATGTTTATTATAATATAACCTACTTACTAATAATAGATTAAATTGTGTGACATTATGTTCTAAGTGTGCATTCAAAACATGGTGATAGATAGTGGATTTTTCTACATAGAAATAAATCCTAAATTATTTTCTCACGCAGTCACCTGAGCAAGAGATCATTTTTATATATATATTTGAAATGGAAAGGAACTATCCACCAAAATATTTTGAACAAAGTTAAGAGATAATCATTTGTAGTAGGTATTCATCCTTTTCATTCTTCTAGCTTAATTCTTAGTTCTATTATTTAGTCTTATAAAATGTCATTAATTTTTTTTTTTGTCCCTTAAAAATTGGCGCACTTCAAAACAAATTTGTTTATGTTTGGTCACTAAATTTTTTTTTTTTTTTTCTTTTAATAAATTGTAAAGCATTTAACAGGTGAATGAAGTACCTTTGCTTAATTATATAAATATATATGTATGTGTCTTTGTATATTTGTGAGTGTATATATAGAGAGGGAAGAGAGCTATATATTAAAATCATTAAATGTTCTACAGATGAAGGTTAGAGAATAATTAATTTCTCTATGGTAAGACATTTTTAAATGGTAGAGAGATTAAGGATCGATTTCCATATATAGATTTCAGTAGGAGGGGAAAAGTTTGGATTTGAAAAAAAAAAAAAATAATAATAATAATATATTAATATATATTCTTTTGTAAGTTTTCATAAACTTGATAAAATGCATAGCAAATATATACTCTTTTGTAAGTATCCTTGTGACTTATATTTGGCCAAATTTGTAGCAATGTGATTAGGTAGTGTCATGACTTCTAAAACAAGAGGAGTTAGGTAACACGTAATGTAGTTTAAATGATTTCTTTAATCATTTATTATTGGATGTATTGTAGTGGGACTTGGAATGATGATTCGGCTCACCTCAACAAATACGGCGAGCCTATCACGCTAATATTTAAATGTATAAATTTAGTTTTGTTTTTATTTTTATTTGGAGAAGTAAGTTAATTATTTCTGTACCTTCTATGGTAAATTTCTTCTTCATTTTTATTTAATTAAAAAATCTGATATTATTTGTGAATCAAATGAGTGGCACTCTCATTTTCCTCCTCTAAGTATCTGGCACTGTCATTTTCATCCTTTTGAGACGTTGTTTTTGAAAGTAATGTTGGTGCCCACAAAAATTGTGGACTCTAGGTGCTCTATAAATGCGTGGTTGTAATGCCTCACTCCATACTTTGATTTTTTTTCCAGCTTCAATGAATCTACTTTTTACAACCCTAATCTTTTAGTATATTTCAAAAGTTGGTTCCTTAAAGATTAATTAATTATAAATTCTTTTAAAATAAGGAAAAATTATATATTTTTTCAATTTATCTTTTTCTTTAGTTATTAATGAATTGTCAAAGCACATCTAGGATGAAATTTCATGATATATATATATATATATATATATATATATATTTTGTTTGTTGATGATATATTGTTTTAACGGTTGAAACTATAGAAAGAGTAAATGCTAAATTGGAAATTTGGAGTAAGCTCTAATTATTATTATTATTTTTTTAAAAAGAATAGAAATGATAACCAGTAACAAAATTGAATATATGTAGTGAAGTTTTAGTTAATCTAAAAATAAAAATAGGGCTGCAGTGAAAGTTGATGACCAAAATTAAACGTTTTCATTGTTTAGGCTCAATTATTCCTAATGAAGAAAAAAAATGAAAATGACTTTAATTGTAGAATCAAGATATGATGGGTTTGAACAGACGAGCTTTGATTTATTATTTTTTATTTTGGCGCTAAAGTCGGGGTTCATTTATTTTCAGGAAATCCTGGAGCATTATAGCTCAACTGGTTCAAAGTTGAGGCAAGAGCTTATCAGAATCATAGAGATGGTAAGAGAGATTGATTTCTGTGAATGTCCCAAGCTACACTCCCATGGTTGTGCTAAGTGTCTGCGCCGAAGAGTTGTTCATCTGCTGTGCAACAAAAGATTCAATGCCACTCTTTTTACTTCCAAATGGAAGCACTCTCAAAAACTTCCTGGAGGTAAAATTTCCCTATTGTGTGTGTCTGTGATACTATATATAAGATCATTTTTGCAAGTTAAAATCTTATATATCAGTACTGAAGACAAGTTAAAAAAGAAAAGAAAACTAAATTGAACATTACCTACTTTTGTCTCTGTAAATGATCAATTGAGTGGTATGGGAGGATGGGAGGGTTGAACTGTGTATAAATCTAATTTTTGTATAATTTTCATACATTTCTTTCATAGTTAAAACTAAAATGTGCCGAGGGAGTTAAAAAAAGATGTGATATCATGTTACTTAGAATAATGATAGACATTGCGACACCTGACTAGTCGAATGTCTCACATAGTAGTGGATCTCTGACCAGCTAGATGTGGTCCTCTCTACTATCTCTGTGAGACACCTGACAGTCAGGTATCGCAATGTTTTTTTTTTTTTTTTTTAAACCTAATTTATGCATTATTTTCATGCATAACATCTTTCATATCCAAAACTAACATGTGCCAAGAGAGTTAAAAGTAACAACTATCGAGAAAAAAATAATAATACGTTTAGAGTAATAATAAACATTGCGACACTAAACTAGTCGAGTGTCTCACATAGTGGTGGATCTCTTATCAGGTGGGGCCCTTCACCACCTTTGTGAGACACACCTAACAATAAGGAGTCACAACGTTTTAAAATTTTCTATACAATATGATTTAAGATTTATATAGTGACAATTGTATATGCCGAATAGTTAGAAAAAGACTTTGTTGAGTTGACTGCTATCACGAGCATCCAAACTTTTACCACTGCATCAAGTAATGACCCTAAATTCCTAATGCTATTTCAACCATCCTGCAGATCATTCACGGCCAAAACCTCCATTAACAGAACTAAATTTTAAGAAAATTTTGCAGTAATTGGACTCGTTGCTATTATAATTATTTTTCTTGCTGATATCTAAAATTGTATAGACTTCATCTTTCCAGGGACACATGAGTATATTGAAGTGATTGCAAGCACACAAGGGAGAAAAAAACAAGGTCCTATGTTGATTGAATTGGAATTCAAAGATCAATTCAAGATGGCAATAGCATGTGATGAGTACCACAGATTAATCGACCAGTTGCCGGAGATATTCATTGGCAAACCCGAGCACCTGGACGCCATTGTTCGCGTAGTCTGCGATGCAGCCAAGAGATCAGCAGCAGAGAAGGACATTCACATGGGTCCATGGAGAAAGAGGAGCTTCATGCAGATGAAATGGTCAGCTTCTAACAAGAGATTATTGTCTCATGAACAGTCTTCGAATGAACTTCCAATGACCTCCTCAGCAAGGCAAGTTCATGTACCTACTACTGTCAGATCCTTCTTTCAGTTTTCTACTGCCGTTGAAGTCGCCTAAAATAGTCATGAAAATGCTACAAATCTTGGTACAAAATTTTGCTACTCTCCTTTTGGGCTAATGTACCTATATAGTACTACCAATGTTTGAGCGAGTACCCTAATATTGCTTGTGGGAGTGTCATTAAATGACGATGGCAGAGGCAGGAACGATAGGTCGACCCTATAGTACTGCAGAGCTTTATTTTTATTTTTAGGATAATGAAGTACCAATTCACTCGTTAATCACTTTAAACTCTCGGATAGATGCAACTGCCCATTTTCGTTAGAATGTTGGTGTTGGCTTGTGGCTGATAACAATTATTGGAGCTATAATAGGAGACCTTTGAATGGTGGTAGAGTATGCATAATGCTCATGGAGTGCGTTTTGTATTTTTATATGAAGGTGTAGAGTACGAACTTATTATTATAATCTTCACAATTCTCAATTTAGAATTATTATAATTGTCAAATTAAAAAACCAATTAATTGACGAGCCAGTGACTTTGCGGTATCATACTCTTATTTTTTAAAAAGAGATAAAAGGTTCGAATTTCGGTGGAAGCATGTGTGTGTGAATACTAATTAAAAAAAAATTTGCACATATACAATAGAGACTTATAAATAAATTCGAGCATGGGGCTCAAAACAATGTGGAATGAAATTAAGTACTAAAATTTACTTTTGAATTTTTCTCCATTTCCTTTTGTTATTCTTTCCCATATTCACACAACATATATAGAGTATTACGTTCATATTTTCAAATCATTTCTTCTACCCTATATCATAATAATTAAATACTGAAATTTACTTTACATGATATTACTTTTAATTTCTACCAATATCTCAGTAGAAATATGAGAAGAGATGAAGTGGAATTATCATATTATCTATATGACATAACAATCTCAATATAATATTTATTTTTTTTACTATCTATATAGCTTGAAACTGGATAGAGTTTTACATATGAAGCATATGTGATATTTGTAAAGAAAAATTTGTATAGAAGTTGGTTCATATTCATAAAATATGAAAGGGCACTAATAAATTATGCATGAGTCATAAAATTATTATGCATGAACCATAAAAAAATGTTATTTTTGCATGACAATTTTTATTCTTGAGTGTTGCCATTTAGTTTTAAAAAATATATATTTAATATTTCAATAAAAACATGAGTATGTTACGAAAAATGAGCTACATTCTACATATGAATATAAATAATTGTTATTGAAAATACAAAATAAAAAGCATTTGGTAACTAAAATCTCCTCCTTAGTTTGTTTTAATTTAAATATGAATACAAATAATAATAATAATTATTAATAATCCATCATTTTACTATTTATTTGCTTAAAATTGATATAAATAATTGGCTATAAAGAGGATTTATCTAACACAACATTAATTTATTTTTTAATATTTGAAATTATGAGGGTAATTTTGGTAAGTAAATTATTATTATTATTATTATTGTTATTTTCTTTTCCTGCTATCCAAATTAAATTTTCATGAATTTTTTTCCACCAAACCAAATACATGCAGAAAACTATGAAAAAAAAAAAAAAAAAAAAAAAAAAAAATTGCATGCAGAAAACTTAATATTCTCTCCTTTCATTTCACTTTTAATTCAATCATAAAATTTCATATATTGGTAAGGCAGATTTACATTGCATGCCTTAATTGAGAAAAGCTGCTTCCAATCACTTTCCTATTACTTCTGTTCCCAACCACAAAACCATCTCTTCATCGACCCACAAATTTTGTGGACGTCGTACAAAGTTTCCTAAAGTGATTTCAGGGTTCAAATGTCTATATATATTGAAATGACTAACTTGCCCCTCTGTTTCGTGTGGTGGTGGTATTGGACATACACCACAATAATGTTGTTCATAGATCGTATTATTTCATGAAATGAATTTCATAGACCGCATTATATCGTGGATTGAATTGCATTTGATTGTCTTAGGAGTTAGGCCTCTATTGCTTGTGCTTTATAGTAATGTTCACACGAAAATATAGTATACATCTCAACCTGGAAATATAGAAATACTATGAATTGATTAAAATCTAAATTTGCAACTGAATTAAAAACTCGGACCCGATCCAACAAAAAGTTGACCTCATATTTGTTTTTAAATAAACGAGCAAATAAACAAGCCAAACTCAAACACTGTTTTTAAGTGACTATTCAAACCAGCATGGTCTGTTATTCAAAGCCAAGCTCAAACACTGTTTTTAAGTGACCATTCAAACCAGCATGGTCTGTTATTCAAAACAACTCACGACTCCACGTGTTAACTTGCAAACACGTCCTTGAACAAGTTTTGTAAACAGAGTCTTTAAAATTTGTGAGCATAATAGTAGTTAATTATAACTAGTTTATATTCATAACCAATTTCTTTTTATCAATCTTGATCTCAACTTTGTATTAAGCTTGAAATTGATTGGCGAAACAAGCCAAGCGACCATGGCAAGCAGCGTCTAAGTAAGATCAAGCACCACTGGATCAAGCACCACTGATGTCTCGTCTGTTTGAATAACGGAGGTAAGGTAAAACAGACAAATGCTTGGCTCTCTTTGAACGTGGCCTAAGTTGGTACAACGTCCAACTCCCCGAAAGAGTGTGCCCAAAAAGATTATAAAAAAAAAAACACTGTGAAAAGCCATCTCATTGCAAAAAACTTGAGCCCAGTTACAACAATGGGGAGTTTATTTATTTTTTTTTTGTCGGTAATTAACAATGGGAAGTTGAAATTTATATTCCAAGAGAATTCAAAGTGGCGTCTCAATGAGAATTTTTGTGTGTCTCTTCAAGGCTGTGCAATATTTATACGTAAAATTGAACTACAAAACAAGAGAACAGTAAAATATTTCCACGATTTGTTACAGTAGCTCCTGTTTCGTGATCTGTATGTTCCCTACACCAGCAATGTCCATCCAGCACTTACATTGAATATCTAATCTGTCCAACATTTCCAAACTTGTAACTCACCACGGTAGAAAATACCGGCTAGGAGATTAACTATCCAATATGTCTGAATCCCCGTACCTTTAAATTGCTTCCCAAACCGAGCAACAAAAGTAATTGTGGGGAACAAATGAGAAAATGGGTGGAAATGATACTCACACATAGTGATACAAACAAATGTGAAGAACCTTCTGATAATTTCGAGAGAAGAGCCAAAACTGATATGAAGAACCACCTTCTGATAACTCTCTAAGCTGAACGACCATGAAAAAAGTTTCCACTTCTAGAATCCTTGGAAGGAGAAGGAAAGAATCTTGAAGAGGCCATCTGGGTTATCAGCATGTACCTATCAAGAGATTGTGATAGACACGAGCAGTATCAAACGATGTATGGAAATGAAATTGTTTAATCCTTACTAGAATGTGGAACAAGCATGGCGGTTTCTCTAATTCCTAATATTAGGGTAAAAAAAAAAAAAAAAAAAAAAAGGAAGAGAAAGAGAGAGAGAAGTTAAAAAGGAGCCAGACTAAAGACAAAACATGCAGGGCCAAACTACTTAATACCGGTTATTAACGGGGAAATTGTAAAATTCATGACTATGAGTCACCCAAAGAGACCACTAATTTGAGCAAGATGCAAGAAACAGAAAGTAATCAGGAGTGTTGTGTGCTTATTGAATAGATGAAGAGAAAATTTAAAAATACAACTGAAAATGTCAAGTATTGTTGACCAGACAAAATTTTGAGACAATCGAGAAACATGTGCAAACAAGAGTATAATAAGAATGAAACTATTAATATGGATATGGTAAATGTAAGAAAATATGAGAAAATCCAATAAGAAATGACTGTAGTAATGTAGCCTTTCTTATCCAAAAATAAATAAATGACGCGTCTGCAATGGTTCTTAAATTAATAGACGCCGTGTTTTTAAGTCTCATTATGTATTCATACTCTTGATATCTGGACCAGAAAGAATTTCAAGTTGGTTGCAACTCTCTGTTGCAAGCTACAATACCGGAACTTATTCAAGCTATAAAGTGTCGTACTATTAAGGTTTATATAAAGCAGCATTGTGAATGCTGCATGCAACGGCTGAGATTACTTCTATATAAGGGCTAGGAATCTCATGAGCCCTTTAGCCTATGAAAATGGATTTAAGCACAACTAATTTGTTGAGGTATTTATTTAACATAGCATGTTTCCCAAGGGGTAGTTAGGGGACACATTAACCGCAGCTGTCTTAACAAGATAACCCATGCTTCAAGCTAAGCAAATAATACAAAAGTATCATGTATTGCAGCAATATAATCTTCCTAACACGGAGCAGGGCAGTAGAGGAAAACACAGCAACATACCCAATGGCCAGCATCTTCAAGGACATGCATATCAACTCCACCTCCCTCTTCAGAAGCTAGCTCCTCGGCAGCATGAATCCTCTGGAGATCTTCGAGGGCCCACCTGTGCAAGCTCCTTTCTGCTTTCAAAAAGTTCACATGAACTCCTCGAGGCACATCATCCACAATTTTCCTGCATGTAATCAGGAAGCACTAAATAAGGTCATTGGAGTTACTTAAGCAAAGTTAGTCTAGGTATTACCTCTTGCTATCCCCATAGGGTTGGGCAGGGATCAAGCCCTGCAAGCAACATGGGGATAAAGGGAGGCTTGGCCTAGCGAAAAAGTATTATGCCTTTTATTACTCTAAGGCTCCGTTTGTTTCAATGCAAAAATGTAAAACGTTTTCATGTAAAACTTGGCAAATTCCGACTCACAACTTGTGTTGCAACGTGTCAAAGTATCTTGTTTGAGTAAATCTATTGAAGACAATACACAACAGTTCGAAACACGGCGTAAAATCCGCATCCACAATCACATATCCAAGGCATAGATAAATTGACCTACGAGAGTCCTAAATTGACCTTTGGGAAGACTCAAATTTTGTTTTAATTGTGTTTTGAAAAATGGCTTTATCAAAATTAATGTTTTAACACATTTTTCAAAAATCACACTTTTTAAAATTGAATTTTGAACTAAACAACAGTGCGATGATCGATCGAACATCTTCCAGTAGCCATCAATCTAATGCTCAATTGATCGAGATTTTGCAAGTTGCTTTTAAAAACCAGTATGCCTCAATCAATGGGTCGATCGATCGAGGTTATAGTCCAATATTTATAACCTGACAGACATGTATTTTGGTAACTCTCTCAAAACACAATTTTAAATGAGTTCTACTTACTAAAACGTATGAGCTACCAATTTTACATGAGAAGGAGAATTCTAGAGTTTACTCAATCTAGGGTTTTCTTAGAAAAGATAACAAGTGATTTCAGTGTTGATCAAGCAGAAATTCAGCAATCCAATCCAATTCAACTGATCAATTATCATAGCAGTAAGGGCAAGCAATCACTAGAGAAATGAATTCCAAAGGATCGAAGTTTGTTGACTAGAGTAACAAACAGCGTAGAGTCTTTCTGAGAAAAGTTTGGCACCACCGTATATTTATCAAGAGGTAACTAGAGGTTTCGGGTGTGGGAACTGTTAACCTGGTTATAATATCTTTCTCATTTAGTGAATTTCAACTGCCTGGGCTAAGCCCAGTGGTTTTTCAGGTTTGGATTTTCCACTGTCTCTGCTATTCTCTAATTTACTTTCTATTGATGCTGATTGTGAGTATGATTGATGAGGAATTGAAAATTGACTGGTAGAAACTATAATTCAAATATCAATCATCACAACTAAATAAAAGAATTTCAAATAAGGATCAACGAGAATTTAAAAAGTTATTTAGGTGAAATATGATATCTATAAGACCTCTTCACTCCCCTGTAGGTCTATATCTAGTGAAGGCAATGGTGCGGGTTTGGGGTGGGTTCTCCCAAACTTTTTTTTTTAATTTTTTAATTTAATTTAATTTTTTTTATTATTATTTTTGTAAGTAAGAATATATTATAACTCGTTCAAAAGGGGAATGCATCCCAGAAGCTATACATGGGCTGAAGCCAAAGAAGAGGTCATAAGGACCCAAGGAGCCCCAAAAATCAACAATCTCCCCTATAGATTTACAATTTCTCCCCATCACCCAACTAAAAAGAGAACTAATAATAAGAAATTTAAAAGCCCCAATGGAAGATTCCTCCCCATCAAAAGATCTTCTATTCCGCTCTTTCCAAATGCACTACCAAACACAACAGGGGGCCGCCCTCCAAAAATCGCGAGCATGGCCTCCCACTAAGGCTTGAAGACTGAGGCATGACCCAATGGATTCCGAACAAACCAAAAATAAGAGTCCAACAATTGTGAGACATAGGGCAAAGCAGAGGAGGTGATCCACCCCATCCCTCTTACACATGCAACGCCGACTGACTATAACCTGTCTTCTCCTTCTCAGATTATCTACCCTCAAAATCTTGCCCCAAATTGCACTCCAGACAAATAAGGCTACTCTAAGAGGAGCCTTCGAGTGCCAAACCATCTTCTAAGGGAAATTAGAACCAGAGAAGCCGGAAAGATAGTAGAACAAGAAACAAACCTCAAACCTCCCTTGAGAAGAAAGCACCCAAAAGATGGAGTCAGGACCTCTGCCATCCATCTCCTGTCTATGCAATAGATCCAAAAGTCCACAAACATCATCCAATTCCCAATCTTGGAACTGTCGCCAAAATCAAACATCCCACGTAACCCTACCACTATCAAGCCAATAACAGTCAACAACCAAGGCAAGTCTATCAACGGCAATCCTGAAAGGCCTGGGAAAAGAACTGGATAGCGGACGATCACCACACCATAAGTCCTCCCAGAACCAGAACCGAATGTCCCTGCCATCCCCAGCTCTGAAACTGATGTGTTTAAAAAATTCATCCCAACCTTTTCGAATGAACTTCCAAACACCCACATCCCCAACCGATCTGATCGCACAAGAGGACCACCTGCCTCTCTCCTCCCCAAAACGGCACGAAACAACCCGTCTCCATAGCCGATGTCGATCACCATCGAATCTTCACAACCACTGACCTAGGATAGCCACATTGAAAGGGATCAACCTCCTAATGCCCAAACCACCCAAATGAATAGACCTACATATTTGCTCCAAACAAACAAGATGATACTTGAACTCCTCTCCCCATATGCCCCAAAGGAAGTTCCGTTGAATTCTTTCAATCCTTCCAGCAACAGAGGAAGGGATTTGAAATAGAGAGAGAAAGTATGTAGGAAGGCTCGATAACGTACTCTTAGAAAGATAGAACCAGATAAGGGTGATTTTCTCACCCTTAGAAAGATATTGCTTCTTCAATCTAACCAGTCTTCTCTCAAACCGCTCGATAATAGGGTCCCAATTGCCCACCCTCCTCGATGAAGCACCCAAAGGCAGAACCATATAAGAAATAGGAAAAGAACAAACCCCACACCCAAGGACCACAACAGGAGATGCAATATCCTGGACCTCCCCTACAAGGACAAGCGCACTCTTGCCTACATTAACTTTCAGACTAGACTGTTTGCTAGGAAGCACGGACACTCCAAAATGGGCGAAGAATCCGTGTCCGACACGTGTCGGACACGGACACGGACACGCCTCGGACACGCCCCGACACGTGTCGGACAAGCCAAAAAACGTGTCTGGAATTTTTTTTAATTTTCGGACACGGCTCAAACAGCTCGGACACGGCTCGGACACACTTTTCTGGATTTTTTTTTTAAAAAATTTTTAATGCTGATATGTTCTATTTTTTGTTTTGTACTACCCTAAAGATGCTGATATATATATATATATACTAACCTAAAGATGCCACAATTCGCCGTGTCCGTGTCCTAAAGATGCTGATATATATATATATATACTAACATATCAGTGTTATATATATATATATTCCAACCTAAACATATTAGTGTTTTTTTTTTTAAATTATTAATTGAAGATGCAAGAGTTCGTTTCTTCTTTCTCTCTCTCTCTCTAGAATTCTTCCAAAACATTCTCCCCTTCTTATCCACCTTACAATTATTATTATTAACGGATTACATTGGGCCTATATTCAAAAGTTTTCTTCCTTCTGGGCCTGATCTTTCAATGGGCTTGATCTTCCTCGGTAGATTCTCCAGGTTCGGCCCATTCCGGGGTACTTTGGCATGGGCCCTACTTCAATTGTTCGACCCGATCCCGTTCCAGCGAACTATATCCGGCCTATGCCACTTGCTGCATCCTCAACTGCCTCCATAATTACCCCTTATTGATTAGGAGGTAATTATTAGAGGCTGCTAATGATAACCTGACGGCTCGAGAAGATCGAGTGGGAGAATGGACGGTTAGATTTAGGGGTCGGCGTTTCGAGATTCAAAAAAACTCATCGCTTTCCTGACTCCTCCGCCCTTGGGCTCACCTTGTCTTTATAAGCTTCATAGATGTTCCATCGATCCTCTTTACCGTCTCCATCTCACTTTCTGTTATTCGAATCCTCTCCGGCGATCTCTTGCAAAAGATCCTCCTTCCAGTGGCCTTGCAGTACTTTTTGCCGTTCTCACTCTCTGAGGTTGGTTTCATTTGCATTTTTCTTTTGGAAGACTTCTTTCTCCTCCTCGAAATCTTCATTCATTCTCACCATGACAGTAGATCTAGACGTTCTTCGCATGAAACTTCACCTCCCTGACGATGTAGAAATTAGAAATTGCCCCCGAGAGGTGAATATTAGAACCGGTGCTGGCTTTCTTCCCGGCGAGGTCCTGTTTTCACTCCTCCATCTTAATCTCCTTAGGTTTCCTTTGCATCCCTTCTTTTGCTATGTTTTCAACAAGCTAAATCTTTCCCCTTTGCAAGTAAACCCAAATTTCCTTAGGATCTTGTCTGTTATGCTACTCCTGATTCGTGACAGAGGTCTGGATCTGGACCTCGTAGATCTTCTCCTCTGTTACAAGGTTAGCAAGATCAGAACTGATGAACCATTTTACCACTTTTTCCCCATTGAGAAGAGGTCCATCTGCACGGATAAAATCAAATCCGAGAAGGGTTGGAGGAAAAATATAATTGGGGTTAAGGGAGCCTGGTTCTCTCCAGCTGCGGAGGATTTCCCTATCCCGAGCACTTTTGGAGAGTGCTCTGTCTCTTTTTACAAGAAATATAAAAACCATAAGAGTGACTGTCCTTGCGAGATTTGCATTCCTCGTTTTTGTACTTTCTTGTGCCATTCCTTAGGCATTCCTTGTGATGATTTGAGCTACGGTGTGTGCAGGGATAAGGATAACTACCTGAAGCAGTACGTTCTGACCAACGTTCCCTCCTGCTCGGACCTCCTCACCTCAGACAATCTCCTCGATATCTCAGTCCTCGGCAAGACAATAAGCCAACTCCATATCCCTTCCTTCGGCAGGAAGAAAACTGCCCCCAGACTTGCTATCACCCCTGCATCAAATTCTTCACCAGCTTCAGCATCTTCCTCTGCTACCCTTTCTGATACCACTCCTTCCACCGATCCATCCGTGACGGCTGCTGACCCGGTCACTAACACAGCTACCGCCAGTCCGAACGTTACCCCTT